GGGCTGGAGGCTGGGAGTCTGAGACCCACGAGGGGCTGGAGGCTGGGAGTCTGAGATCCAGGCGGGCTGGGGGCTGGGAATCTGAGATCCAGGTGGGCTGGAGGCTGGGAGTCTGAGATCCAGGTGGGCTGGAGGCTGGGAGTCTGAGATCCAAGTGGGGCTGGAGGCTGCGAGTCTGAGATCCAGGTGGGCTGGAGGCTGGGAGTCTGAGATCCAGGCGGGGCTGGAGGCTTGGAGTGTGAGTGAGATCCAGGTGGGGCCGAGGCTGGGAGTCTGAGACTCACGAGGGGCTGGAGGCTGGGAGTCTGAGATCCAACTGGGGCTGGAGGCTGGGAGTCTGAGATCCAGGAGGGGCTGAGGCCGGGAGTCTGAGATCCAGGCGGGGCTGAGGCTGGTTCCTCCTGAGGCCTCTCTCCTTGGCATGTGGACCCCGTCTTCTCCCCGTGTCCTCACGTGGTCGTCCCTCTGCGTGTGTCTGTGTCCTCATCCCTCTTCTTATAAGACCCCAATCCTATGAGATCAGGGCCCAGCCTAATGATCTCATTTTACCGTAATCACCTCTTTAAAGACCCCACTTCCACTTATGGTCCCATTCTGGAGTCCTGGAGAATGTGGCTCTGACAAATGAATTTTGGGGGGACACAGCTCAGCCCATACCAAACTTGAGACCCACAAGACAGAGAAAACGAAGACAGTCTCTTTCCACATCTCCCAATTCATCCTACCTTGATGAATGTTATCCTGATACAAAATGACTGGGTGCTACAACAGGCTGACTTGTGTCTCCCCAAAAAAACATTTCTAAATCCTGATTCCTGAACCTTAAATGGAAATAGGTCTTTGCAGATGTGATGAAGTGAAGGATCTGAGAGGAGTTCATCCTGGATGAGGTGGCCCTAAATCCAATGACACGTGTCCTTGTAAGAGACAGAAGAGGAGACACAGACACAGAGGAGAAGCCACGTGAGGACGGAGGCAGAGATGGGATGGACGCGGCCACAAGCCCAGGGACACCTGGAGCCCCAGAAGCTGGAAGAGGCAGGGAGGACCCTCCCTGGAACATGGCACTGCCTCGCCTGGATCTCGGTGGTCCTGCCCCGCCTGGATCTCGGACTCTGGTCTCCAGAGCTGGGAGAGGATGAATTCCTGTTGTGGGACGGGCCCGGTTCGTGGTCATTTGTTACAACAACCTCAGCAAACTCCTGTACAGCCCTCCTGGGTGACCGCCCATAAATTCCTTGACTGTAGATACTTTGAGGGTACTTGGCTGTTGTTTTAGGCCCCCTCTGTTATAGCACACAGTGAACTGTGTGACAGCTCACTTGGATGCACACATCCAAAGACTGAAAACATGGACCAGCAAAGGAAACCTACCTCGTGGGCTGCACAGGACAGGGTCAGCTCTGACCCCTCTGCCTGCCTTCTCACGACACCCAGGTCGGGGTCGCACCTGAGACTTGGCCTGGCTGCCGCCAGCAGCATGGACCAACCCTGCGAGCACCACCGCTCTCGCAGCTGGAGGCTCCTTTGTGGGCAGGTCAGCACCCTGCAATGTGTGTGTGTTTCTGTCTCCTGTGTGCATCATGACCCATGTGTGTCCCCATCTTGTGTGCCCTGCATGTCCCACATGTGTCCCCATCCCTCAGGTGTCTCGTGCATGTGCATCCTGCGTCTCCCGTATGTCCTGCAAGAACATACCACTCCTGGAGACGATGGGCATGAAAAAGAGGAAGGCAATTTTAGACATCAGGCCACAGGCCCAGGGGAGGTGGCCATGGCCAGTGGCACTGGACAGAGCAGGGTGCCTGAGGGGCCGGCACCTGTAGGTCCCCTTGTCCCACACGGGCTGCATACTAACCGTGGTCGTTGTGCCGGGCCAGGTCCTGGGAATCGATGAGAAGGTCGTGGTCCGTGTCCAGCTCCCAGAACTTGCAGTAAATGACATAGAAGTGCTCGTAGGAGAAGTACTCTGTCAGCTGATTGATGTCTGCTTCCTCTTCCAAGAGCGCCACATTCTGCCAAAACAAACCCAACAGAACTGGTGCATTTTCCACAGGAGCTGGGCTTCCTGTGGGTGAGACCCTCCCAGGTGTCTCATATTATGAGTGTGGAGGGCCCAGAACTGGTCAAGACAAGCCTGGGGTCAGGAGCACAGCATCTAGGTCAGGAGCGCACTGCGGTCAGGGTTGCGCCTAAAACTCAGCCTGGCTACTGCTGGCAACATGCGGCAGTCCTGCGAGTGTAAACCCTCTCACAGCCTGGAGCCTCCTTCTGTGGGCAGATCAGCACCTTCCTCATTAATGCCCACACGTGCACTGAACCTGAGTGAAGAGGACACCTTGATCTCCAGTGCCTATGGGTCATTGCTCCTGCATGGACGGTGGATGGTCAATGGGTGGGTAGATGGGTAGAGATGGATGGAGGACGATGGTGAACAGAAGGATGGAGAATGGAAGATGGACGGGTGAAGGACGCAGGATAGACGTAAGAGGGTGGAGGATGGAAGGAAGGATGGAGGATGGATGGAGGAGAAGACAGAAGATGAAAGATACGGATGGGAGATGATGGAGGATGGGTGGTGGAGGGTGGAGGATGGATGGATGGGTAGAGGGTGGAGGATGGATGGTCCAGAGTGGAGAGTGGAGGATGAAGGGTGGATTGGTGGATGGAAGATAGAGGGTGGAGGGTGGAGGATGGATGGATGGGTAGAGGATGGAGGATAGATAGATGGGTAGAGGTTGGAGGACGGATGGATGGGTAGAGGGTGGAGGATGGACAGTCCAGAGTGGAGAGTGGAGGATGAAGGGTGGATTGGTGGATGGAAGATAGAGGGTGGAGGGTGGAGGATGGATGGATGGGCAAAGGGTGAAGGATGGATGGATGGGTGGAGAGTGGAGGATGGATGGGTAGATGGTGGAGGATGGATGGTCCAGAGTGGAGGGTGGAGGATGAAGGGTGGATTGGTAGATGGAAGATAGAGGATGGAGGCTGGATGGATGGGTAGAGGATGGAGAATGGATGGATGGGTAGAGGGTGAAGGATGGATGGATGGATAGGTAGACGGTGAAGGATGGATGGATGGGTAGAGGATGGAGGATGGATGGATGGGTAGAAGGTGAAGGATGGATAGATGGGTGGAGAGTGGAGGACGGATGGGTAGATGGTGGAGGATGGATGGTCCAGAATGGAGGGTGGAGGATGGATGGATAGGTAGAGGATGGAGGATGGATGGACAGGTAGAGGGTGAAGGATGGATGGATGGATGGATGGATGGATGGATGGATGGGTAGAGGATGGAGGATGGATGGTCCAGGGTGGAGGATGAAGGATGGAGGGTGGACTGGTGGATGGAAGACAGAGGATGGAGGGTGGAGGATGGATGGGTAGAGGGTGGAGGCTGGATGGGTAGAGGGCGGAGGATGGATGGATGGGTGGAGAGTGGAGGATGGATGGATAGGTAGAGGGTTGAGGATAGATGAATGGGTAGAGGGTGGAGGATGGATGGTCAAGGGTGCAGGGTGGAGGATGAAGGGTGGATTGGTGGATAGAAGATAGAGAATGGAGGGTGGAGGATGGATGGATGGATGGATGGGTAGAGAGTAGAGCATGGAATGATGGGTAGAGAGTAGAGGATGGATGGATGGGTAGAGGGTGAAGGATGGATGGATGGATGGGTAGAGGATGGAGGCTGGATGGTCCAGGGTGGAGGGTGGAGGATGAAGGGTGGATTGGTGGATGGAAGATAGAGGATGGAGGGTGGAGGCTGGATGGGTAGAGGGTGGAGGATGGATGGATGGGTGGAGTGGAGGATGGATGGATAGGTAGAGGGTGGAGGATAGATGGATGGATAGAGGGTGGAGGATGGATGGTCCAGGGTGCAGGGTGGAGGGTGGAGGATGAAGTGTGGATTGGTAGATGGAAGATAGAGGATGGAGGGTGGAGGATGGATGGGTGGAGGGTGGAGGATGGATGGATGGGTGGGTGAAGGGTGGAGGATGGATGGTCCAGGGTGGAGGGTGGAGGATAGATTGGTGGATGGAAGATACAGGATGGAGAATGGCAGACAGGAAGGCAGGTGGACAGGAGGCATGGACGTATAGAGGCCCCGTGTCCCCACTGGCCAGTGGCCTACCTGCAGGAAGGTGCTCCTGCGGAGCTCTGCACACGTGATCCTCCCTGACCAGGACCTGTTGACGGTGTAGAAGATCCTCTGTATGACCTGCAGGAGGAAGGCGTCAGCAGAGCACCTGGACACCGGGGGATGCAGGACCCCATGTGCTGGCCGAGGCACCCACTCTGCGTTTGCCAAACAGTTGGGTTGGGGATGAAAGTGCCTGTGAACCCTGTGGTCCAAAGAGCAGGCATGTGTGTTCCCCCAAAGCTAAGACGTCCTCCCAGGCTGAGAAGCCCATGGCCAGCCCTCTCCCTCCGGCCCGGGGAGGAAGCGCACACGGATCTCTGGGATGCCCCCTCCCTTGTGCTAGTGTCTGAGTTCCAGGCACGTGGGAAGACCCGCCAGGCTCTCCACGAGCTCGCTGTGCTTTGTGCCTCCACATGGGACATCTGCCTCTCGAGGACCCTCCCTCGGCCCCACTCAGCACGCACTGCCAACATCTTATCCGTGGGCGAGAAAATCGGGGTCCAGAAAGGCCATGGCCCGAGGATCTGGGTCCTCATTCAAATGTGTGGTGGGGCCTGTAGCCGGGGTCCCGGGGGCAGCGGCGGTCCCGAATACTCACGGTGGTGATGTAGCGAGAGTGGAACTCTGACGCCTCCTTCAGGAAGGCTAAGCCCGGGTGCGTGTTCACCACGTCCTGCACACGGAAGACAAGACGGAGCTCGGGGACACGCTCCGTGCCCGCCCAGCATGAGCACCTGTATCTTTGCAAACCCCTGCGGCTTCCACAGGGACAGGGCTGCTGTGCACAGAACACTCTGGCCACACAGCTGCTTACGAAACATAACCCCAAGAGCGCGACTCTGTAACTCCCTTAGGCTGCACGCTAAGGAAGCATGGGACAGGGTGGTGGAAGCGACCATCGTGACCTCTGACAATTAACTGGGACTCAACGCATATAAATGCACAAGGACCCACACAGAGGTCCACAGGAAGGGTTTAAATACCCTCGTTTTATGAGCTACAGTCACATGAGCCTTTAGGTGACATCTGCTGGAATAATCCAGTTACTCAGAATGGCTACACAGAAGGGCCAGTGACAAATCTACCATTCACCCTCGATTATCTGTCTCAGACTGTGCCACGATGCTCTAAATGAGTCTGAAGGAAAGCAGAGAATGTTCTAGAACACCACGACCTGTTTTTATGCAGCAGGTGACAGAGTCAGGGGCTGTAGTTCCCATGTCTCTGTGGCCTCATGC